AATATGCATAATTATTTTTAAAAATCAGTTTCTAATACAACATTTTATCATTGGGGGCCATTTTTACTATTGCAATGATTTTTACCGGGTCATTTTTCCTACATTCCACTTACACATGTAATAGTTTATTTATAGTTCAAAAAGTCTTACGTGCTGTAACATTGATATAATAAAATGAAAAAAAAATACTAAAGGAATTTTCTTTTTTAATCCAGAAATGAGTAATATAGTATGCCGAACGTACATAATTTAGGCCTATATTGCCAAGGCCTATAGTCACATGGTCAGTTATTTGGATTATTCTTGGATCTATTATACGGTACCTCTGGGAACTAACTGTAATTGAATATAATGCTACAATACAGTAGCAGATAGGCCTACTCACTGGGGAGAGAAAGACAACATGGATAAAATTACCCTTTAAATTACCAATGAACCAAGCAAGTGGCGGTCATAGGCAGATGCAAGTCGGGGGTGGGGGTGTGGATTGAGTGTAGTGCCGTTTTCGGCCATCTAGAGCTGCCATGGTGCTCCATCTGTAAAAGTCCCTGCCTGGATCCGTCACTGGCAGTGCCAGATTACCCACTTGATCCTGGTAAATGACTTTAACCGATGACACACGCAAGACAGATACGGCAGATAGACCGAATCGCAATCATTGCGCCCGGCCAACCGTTATACAGTAAGTCATGTACAGTACGGTATGCCGGGGATGCACTTAGAAATACTGGAAGAGAAATTGATAGTTGTGCTGAAGTTCGACAAATTTGGATTTTCCACCACAATTCCACATGAAGATTAACTAAGCTTAAGGATTTAGCAAGTTAAAATACTTCCGTCAAGGAAAATGTGGTGCGGCTTCACCTTCCGACCCACCACTAAATACTAGCCTAATATTTATTGTGACCCCATTCTAAGTAATTTCTCTGTGGAAGAACAGAAGCATTGCTGTGCATCAAGAAAAGGATTTAGCAAGTTAAAATACTTCCGTCAAGGAAAATGTGGTGCGGCTTCACCTTCCGACCCACCACTATAAATACTAGCCTAATATTTATTGTGACCCCATTCTAAGTAATTTTTCTGTGGGAGAACAGAAGCATTGCTGTGTATCAAGAAACAAAAATTGTAATGCATACCACATCCTTAATTCTCTATACACGAGAAAAACGGTAAATGTCATCCTCTCCAATTTCTATAGCAGAACTGAATATCCCTAAAAATCATATATCATTACTATCAATGTTATCATTATCATTGTTATCATTCATTGTTATTATTGTTACGGCAGTATCATTTTGAACTCAAATAAGTTAAAAATCAAATACAACGGATGCAGGAATCACATTAAAAAATCCCCTTTTCCTGACCATTTTGTTTGCTTCCATGGTTATTAGGGGCCTAGAGAGTGAAACTAATATAAGTAAAACATTTTCAATAAATGCATTTTGTTCCTGGTTTTGGAATTAAAATATTTATTCTAAGACTTGGGGTGTTGTAAAAGTTAATATTTGCCTTATCCTGCCTCTAATAACACAACAAAGCAAAAGTGAAACCACAACATTCTTTACGCGTTTTTACACAATCCATATACCGTATGGCTTTATCAGCTTTTATCATATCAAGATAAAGATACTTTGGTATTCCTCACCGCTTTCTGAATTTACACGCCTCATGACCATGAAGTGACCACCGCCTCATAGCTTACTTTACTTTTGGCCACCCATATATGCCTCGAGGAACTGGCCTAGTAAATAAACTAAGCATCATTAAGCCATATGCTAAGATTTAATTCAGGGTTGTTTGAACTTTATCGGCATCACCATTATGATCTGTTGATAATAGTTAATACTGTATGCAGAATGATTTAGGATTTAATAAATAACTACATTTAATTATCTAAATCATTAAACACTGGTAAATCCACGTCTCCGCCACTTCCTAATTGTGCATCATGCATATACAATTACAGGCATTTTTTAATAATAGGCCTAGGACTAGGCCTATATATATTTTTCACCGAGAGCAGCTTAGCTTACTCCGCTAAGCTGGTGGTAGGCACTATGTGCGCCGAACCCTTGGTTAAGATTTTGGTCCTCGGTTCAATTCCACCTGCTGCTCTTTTTGTATTTCAGTAGGAAACGGAGTTACGATAGCACACCGTCCTTCGAATGAGACGTTTAAGCCGTTGATCCTGTGTGCAATATGGCCCATGTGCACGTTAAAGAACACAGTACACTCTTTGGAAAAAAGTAGGGATTGTCTCCCAGTGGACTGCCCAATTCTACACAATCATGGAGAACCCCACTGGAGTTATCCCCGGTGAGATTAACACCAATACTAGCATTTTATGGATCAATATACTGAGACTATTGATATTATTTTCAATTTTGCGATTCGGATATGAAAACAGTACAGTAAAAATAATTCAATAAAATATATAATTAGAATATAGGCCTATAGCGAATACGATTTTTGTATGTTAAAATCTAATGCGCTTATCACTGAAAAGATGTTTCCTAAAAATAAATGTTTTAGTATTTGCTTCGAAATTGTATATTGTCGAAGATTGTTTGAGATATATCCACAGAGAATAGTGGATACCAACTAGGAAATATCAGTTGCCGAGATTTTAAGAGAATATATAATAATATTTATTATTAATAATATGCCTATAATAAATATGTTGTGAAAAAATTGTATTTTCTTATAGGCCTACTAGTATATAGGGCTTAAAATTCTTTATTATAGGTACAAAAAGTGTCACCTTAATTGCTCTTTTGCCAAGACGGTTTTTAGGCTTCAACTTCTCAATTCAACACATGGTTAAGTTACCAAAAGCGGCGAAATTTAATTGGACTTTACACAATATATTGTATAATTTTTTAACAATGATAAATATACAATTCTCTTTCACCAAATTTCCTACTATTTTTCACAAGTATTAAATTCACAGGACTCCTATCATTCCTAGGATAGTAGACTTTTATTGTCATACGCCTATTCACAGAGGAAAGAAACGCGATCAGACGCCGATTCAATACGGAGTTTGGTGTGTTAGTTAAAACTTGATATAGACATAATACTGTAACGTACGCATCACTGTAAAACTTGGCACTAAAGAATAACCGAGCGCCTGTAATTCTACTTCCTGTGCGTATATATTTGGGTTTAAAACGAATTTAAAATTAACTGTAGATTTTATGTGAGTAATAGTGAATTGGCCATATGCCAATCTCCATAGCTCCCTAGAATAGCACTGTAGTCCTAGAATATAAATGAGTCTCTTGTAAATGTGTCAAACACAAAAGCCATTGAATCGTTCCTTTAGAAATTTAGTCAATGAGATTTGACGATCTGTTTGGGCGCGAAGTGTGTAGAAGTGCATGGATTGTGTACATGTATAATGATACAGGGCCTACGCCTAACGACGCCTAGGTAGGCTTATGCCACGTTCCTTTTTCTGTTCATGCACCCATCCCTGGAATCATTTACTCATATCTGTTAGTCCGAAAATTTATTTATATACAAAATTAGTCTCTAAACTTCCTTATTTTTCTTGGTTTATTCTTAACTTAGCGCGGTAAAAATTACTGCTGTATTATTATTTATTATTATTATTATGCTATAAAAAAAAACAAAAAAAAAAACAAACTTTTACAGTGTGCCTTTTTTTTCATTCATCATCAGCATCTGTATCATCATCGCCATTATCATCATCATTATTATCAACAACATCAACAACAATATCACACGACGACATCATCGTCGTCGTCGTCTTTAACAAACAACATCATAGATTTTTGAATAGCAGTATGCAATAGCATACCTGTATTAAAAAAAAAAAATCTATAGGCCCTACTAATGGGAATATTCTTAGAATACAACCAAGTACGGTAACGCCTATAGGGGCCTACTATTATAGGTATGTTTTCTTAAGGTTAATCACCTTATTTCAATACCACTGGCCGTTCGTTGAGGCCAATGTGTGGTCATTGTGGTCAGTGATATTTAGGCATTTGTTTAGATATTGATCCCGCCTAAAAAAAGTAATAATTGGATCTGTCAATTTTGGTTAATTAAGCAATGTATACCAAAACAGTGGATTACTATAATGGAAACTAAACATAATGAAATCGAGGATACAGATCCAAATGGAGAGAAATTGATTACTATATTTAATACTAAAAAGAAGGAAAACATTATGATAAATAATTTGTCATCTAAAACCTGTCTCTTATACACATCTAGATCCAAATAAATTGATTGATTGATATAGCCTATATATATATTTATATATAGGCCCTATGTATAAATCAATTGATATGCCTATATCTTTGGTATGGAGAAGATGCACTTAATGGTGACAATAAAATAAGTGTGGAACGTATTGGAAATACAATAGCTTTTCCCTGGCAACGTTGAAAAAATTACATAAATAACTTAAGCCTATTATATATTCATATAGATCAATAATAATGAATATCTGAGGTACATTATATATATATATATATATATATATATATATATATATGTATATTCATATATATGTATATTCATATATGTAAATATTTAGACCTATATTAGCAGTAGTAGCAGGTATATATGCATTTACATAATTTTGTTTTCCTTAGTCTCTTGTCATGTGCGATTTGTAGTACTGTATGTTGCTACAAATTTATACATTTATATAGGCATACAGTACGCAACGAATAGCATTAACTATCACGTTAATACAGACCTACAACCCTCTAATCCGAATAACATAACATAACATACAGGAATATTGTTTATGGGCGTGGACGGACGATATACTCAATAATATTATGGAATTCTGGAACATCCGATCGTAAGGTCATGCGTGGGAGAGGCGAGTCGTACTACTGTACGCATATTGCCTGTTGTCGCTCTAAACATAAATTATGCACATGCTATCGCCGTAAACGATGATCAGCATGTTTGCCTAGGCCCATTTGTCTAAAAATTTCAGCCTGAAAACTTACCATAAAATGCAGCAGGCAAATATAGAACAACAAATCCATGTTCGCGATGGAAATAGACTCGGTTGGTTTGGTTTAGGTTTTTTTTTGATCGAGAACATTCAAAACAAATCACACTACCGTACTCGACTGTCTCGCTTTCAAGGATATTTTTTTTTCTGAATGAATCGTTCGAGCGAATCGTTCGAGCGAATCAAGGTGGCGTGGGCGGGGCTTAGGTCAAACACCCGTTCATTCATGAAAGACAGCGCGTAGTAAAACCAAAACGTAAATAAATACAAACGAAGATTTGCATAATACGTCGACGTGACGTAAAAACACAAAAAATAGTTAGGCTTTTTCAGAGAATACTCAATATTAATTGCTGGTGGATCGTTGTAACGTATTACATAAAGCAGGCCTGCACAAAGAACAGGCGACGACTGGATTTGTTTGGTTTACGCGACTTAAAAAAACAGCTTCGGAAAAAAAAAATATTTTGGAAAAATTTTGGAAAAAATGAAAACATTTAATAAGAAAAAATATTTTGGCCTATATTATGCGAAACACAAAACATAAATGAAAAATAATGATAATCCTTAAGAAAATCCTTAATATATTAAATCAATGATCAACATATTCATTAAAGCGATTTGATCTTCAGAACTAAGGATTAATTAACGGCAGATGACATTCTATTTAACGACCGGTTTTCAAAATGATTACAATCATCAATTTTTCTATATAATTCATTAATATTTAGCTTTTCTTACAATTTTTGTTGTTGTTTTATCAATGCTATTTAAAAGGAGAATTTAACTAACCTTCTAAAGATTTTTTATAAAAACGAAATATGTACCCATTAATCTGCACCTCTAATTTAGAAAATGGAGCAGTCTATCCAATCATTTTGCAGAACACAGATCATGCACTTCATAGCCCATATGGTTTGCACTCAAAGGTCTGTATTTTTCCAGTCGGGGTCAATGCCATATAGAGAAGCACGTGTGTATTTTACAAGTGGTCACTATTTTCGTATGACGTCCGGGTAATTGCCTTATTGGATGCGCGATAGCTGTTGGTTTCAATTACAGATTTTTCACAATAATATATTTTCATTTCAGCTTTACATTATTCAGTTACTGTTTTGTTTAATAAATAAACTACCTCCCCACGAAATTAAAAGAATTTTACTTTAATAGATATGGTGAGAACAATCTAATCTTCCGAATGACCCTTGCAAATGTCAATACAGTGTACATAAAAAAAAAACTACCACAATTTTATAAGGAAACTATCGAAGCTTGGAATCGTGTGGGGAGAACTGATGCGCCTACAAATAAAAAAGAAATAGGAAACCAAGTCATCCGGGGAAATTTAAACATAACAAACAAAAATTTTAAAGAATGGGTTATTGCAGGTATAATAGGCCTATACAGTATATCAAAGACCTATTCTGTAAGGATGTATGTTAACCCCCAAGACAGTATATGAGAAAATTTACAAAAGTAATAATTGGATCTGTCAATTTTGGTTAATTAAGCAATGTATACCAAAACAGTGGATTACTATAATGGAAACTAAACATAATGAAATTGAGGATACAGATCCAAATGGAGAGAAATTGATTACTATATTTAATACTAAAAAGAAGGAAAACATTATGATAAATAATTTGTCATCTAAAACATGTTCCGATAGGCCTATATATTGAGAAACATCGCCGGAGTAAAACCCATATCACAATTAAAATGGGAACAAAGGTTTAATTTACAAAATGAGGTAGATTGGAAGTATATCTGGCAATCTAAAGTAAACAATATAGAAGAGAGAAAATTGGCAGAATTTAACTTTAAACTGTTGCACAGAACGATTCCAATGGGAAAACGTTTATTGCTCTGGAATACTGCCGATACAGAAATATGTGATTAATGTAACGAAGTAGAGGACAAAGAACATTTGTTTTTCTCCTGTAAACGCTAAAATGGATTCTGGCAAAAAATACAATACATTCTGCGAAATTTATTAAGAAATAGGCCTATACAAATATCGTATAAAATTATTATGTTAGGATCAACAGAATTAATGGATAATTATAATGTAACGAATCAGGTAATCACTACTGCATGTACACCATTAAAAAATAATGGTTGACATTGAAAATAACAAATCTCTACAATAAATTGCTTTTAAAATTTAAGAGTGAATTAGAAATAAGAATAAAAATGGAGTATGCTGTACGACGAGAAGTCGCCATTAAAAAATGATAAAATATAGACTTGCCATTTGAAGAAAAAAAGATGAGCCTATTGTATGAATGAAGGTTGGTTCTTTACCCACACGAAATAGAAAAAAAAATGAGTTTAAAGAAACAAATATAATTGGTTTATAAAATAAATTGTAAGAAAATGAAGAGCGAAAATTGATTAATTGATTGATTGTATTGTCTGTTGTGAGATGATTAATTTGACAGTGGTCTAATTTACATTGTTTTATATTTTGAATATAAATATGAAGATTTATGTTCGTATTCTAAATAGGCCTATACTAATATCGTATAAAATTATTATGTTAGGATCAACAGAATTAATGGATAATTATAATGTAACGAATCAGGTAATCACTACTGCATGTACACCATTAAAAAAATAATGGTTGACATTGAAAATAACAAATGTCTACAATAAATTGCTTTTAAAATTTAAGAGTGAATTAGAAATAAGAATAAAAATGGAGTATGCTGTACGACGAGAAGTCGCCATTAAAAAATGATAAAATATAGACTTGCCATTTGAAGAAAAAAAGCCTATTGTATGAATGAAGGTTGGTTCTTTACCCACACGAAATAGAAAAAAAAAATGAGTTTAAAGAAACAAATATAATTGGTTTATAAAATAAATTGTAAGAAAATGAAGAGCGAAAATTGATTAATTGATTGATTGTATTGTCTGTTGTGAGATGATTAATTTGAAAGTGGTCTAATTTACATTGTTTTATATTTTGAATATAAATATGAAGATTTATTTTCATATTCTGAAAATCATTAGTATGTTCAGATTATAAGTATGTTATTATTGAATAAATGTGGCTTTCAAGAAGAAAAAAAAGAATGTGCGAGGTGCTACGAAAAAAAAAAAAGACAAAAAGTTATTGCCACTCTTCCCTTAGCTGTTAAGTTTTTTTTAATTTTATTTATCTATGGACATACTAGTAGGCCTAAGTGGTACGCATTTAAGAGAACAATCTAAATATTAGTGTCTCTGTGTAAATAAAACAGCAGAATGTAATAGACGGAAAATAATGTTGATTGTAATTTTTGCCCGCCATGAGTGAGACATCTTACTTTTGGGTCCTACTTAGGTCGTCTATAGGCTATATTTGAACGACTGTAAGTAAAATCGATTTTTCTATAAATGACGTCACTAATATATTTGAATTTAGGCATTGGTTATTGTTTCACCAGTCAATCCACTTGCTAATTGTGTTAAAACTGTTTTTGTTTATGAATTGGATTAGGTCAGTAACATTGAATCAGATTTTAAAAAAAATGGTTTAAGACTGGTTTACCGTAGGAGCAATAGCCACTGCCTTCAATTTAATTTTTTTTAAATTTCTTTACGTGCTTGACCAATAAAAATACAAATGCAGAGAAGATAAAAACAATAAATAATTATAAATTAGGTCAGGGATATTAATTAAGGTCAAATGTAAGGTCAAGATATTTATGAGTCGTAACAGCCTCAAGCGATCTTTAGTGTGTCGATAACACATGTGCTTAGTGAATGCCATTGATGAAGGCAGTTGAGATCAGATTGTAGATGATCAAAGAGAATAGGACATAATAAATAAAAAATATCGATGAAGAATTAAAATTATTTATTAAAATTTTGAATTTAAAATATGTGTTCTAACGCTTTTATCCACGCTTGAGGTTGCGTGTGTGTCTGGCGCACCCGGTTACATGAAAAGCAAAAAAGCAATGCATTTTCAATACTGACCATAATATAAATTAGGCCTATCAATCAAGACTTTTTTTACAAATGCCTTCCATCCATCTCGGTCCATCGTGCGTGCGGGAATAACATCTCTTGGTAAATTAGTATCTTTTTCTAGTTGATGCAGATATGACGAGCATGACCGTCCTATTTTTTAAGTTGACCATTACAGGTTGCCGGAACAATTTCTCTCTTACATGTAGCGACTTTCCAAAAAATCAGCACCTGAAAACAACGTCATAGTACCGAAATTATTTTTCCCCTCTTCTGTAGGGATTTCACCCACTTTTATTTCATTTCTTCTGTTTTCAATCGTTTTGCAGTTTTCATCAGACAAACGTAAATATATAACACAAATACTAAAATTCAAGAGTGGTCAGTCCACCATGGCTGACTACTGTAATGCCATTAGTATATTTTAATATCTGCATTTTTCATTTTCATTCATCATTTATTTTTCCGTCATTAACAATTCGATGTACTAAATTCTATATATTTAGTAATCTAATTAGTAATATATATATATGTATATATATATATATCATCAAAGAAAGGTAACGATTCTTTGATGACTTATATATAATTTAACGGCGAACTTGATTTATATATATATATAAATAAATAAATGAATAAATAAATCAATATAT